CTGTGGTGACCTACGCCTCTACGCGAGACTTCCCTAGATGAGTTGAGTTTAACTTGACTACTTAGCTACGCCCCCAAGCGATTGCAGTTGAAGCTACAGTGTGCAGTCTGGAGGGTGCAACGTAAAACAACATCTACCCTTGAGTCAGAAAATACAAATTAGAAACAAGACTCTTTCTTCGTAACGTTAACTGATATCCGTGATGTTTGCAGGCAGCTAGGTTAAAACGCTAGCTCTGCTAGGTGGGAGGTAGTTCAGGAAGGAATAATGTTTCAGTTTTATCATAGTCTGGTTTCCGTAAACAGTGGTTTTAAAAGACGGAATGCAAGGCAGACTGTATTGAATGACACCATTAAATGTCCATATCGTGTGTTGTCTTTGATATTACCAGAAAGGCAAATGTTCTCAATACAATGCTTTTGTGACCATTCAAGCATATACATGTATGCCATATCTACACAATACACTCTCATCCTTCGGCATATCAAAGGGAGCCACTTACGTTCGCTTCACCTCATTATTCCACAGTATTTACAGTTGCTCAATTCCGCATTCCAAGAACTCAGGCCTGCCTTTATCTCCTAAAGGCATCGCACAAATTCGTTAGTCTAGCAAATTGCAAAAGACGGAAAAGAGTGTTGCCAAGCCTCCGTGCCCTTAAATAACATTACGCCCTCCTTGGTGCTAAAGGTATTGAGACCTCTTACAGTACCCATTAACCATTGTAGAAACAAATTGCACTTAGCACATGCATTATTTATCAGACAATCAGTGACTTGGAAGCGGCCGTTCACAGTATGGTTTAGGCATGAATCATTCATACCAGACTGACTTACTGCACAACAATATTCGGATACGAATAAGAATGTAAACAACTCTGCTTGAGTGCTCTTTTGAAACTCAACTGGCTACTACGACTTTATATTCAAGCTGCAAGTAATCGATATAATTACAAACAAGCTATATAATTTGTATGTAATTGTCCGGTCTCATTTCATTTTTGACCTATTATGGTTAAGTATTCACTAACCTTTATACTTAAACAATCCTTTTGTTTCCTTAAAAAAATTGTCTTCACTTATTTGCATATGGATCAACAGTCCATGCTTATAACCTGCTTTTCGTACAACTCTCCAGTCTCACCGATGGAAGGTAGTGGATGCTATCTGAAACGTCTGACCGTTTCCAAAATCATATTTAGTTGCTTGATTAACTACTTTTTGTGTGTTTTAGTACTAGTGTTTTCTCCAAAAATAATGTAACTCAACGTTCTATATTCTGAAAGGATCAGTATGAACGGAGGGCAATTCTGTTTACCAATAAACATAATGATCTTCCTTGCTCACACACACACCACAGTCGCAATTTGCCAATCCACTTACACAGTTCAATAGGTAATTGTCAGTGTTATGGCAACGCCCGGTGTGTAATGGGTTAGCGGGAGATAAAGACTGTCCCATTCCCCTGGTATCAGATAGTGTCTTCAGAGGAAAATTCTGCGGTATCACGCAAGGTCATCATCCTGTATGTGCATGTGTGTCACAGCTTGCACTTCTTAAGGTAAGATGTGTGAACATTATTTTCTTTCTTACTTACTTATGTACTGGGTTGCTTGCATATCTATAAGAACTGTTTACATTTATTGTATGTGTATGTTTTTACCACTGATGTACGTTGTAATGATAAAGATTACAGTGATATTAGAATGTGATATCTTACTATAGAGATTGATGTAAACTACTATATACAGGTTTAACTTCTTAGGCAGCTGTAGATGGAACATATAAACATATGGAGCTTATAATACAACGTTTGTCTAGTTCCATAAGGGACAACATTAATATCAAGGTGGTGAATGTTTACTGGGTGTGAAACTGTTGTTGTTGATTTTAGAAGGCAATGGCTTTTACACATCAATTGCGAATGCTTGTGGTGAGACGCAATATTAAATATCACAAATGTTTTAGACATGGTTGACACACATTTACTCAAAACACTTAGAAACAGCCATTATTACCCACTTATCACTGTATAAACAGTCATTATTGCCCAGTTATCACTGCATAACCAGTCATTATTGTTCTATAAAGACTGCATTATTTCCCAAAGGAACGGTTTTGGAAATACCAGCACATGCCAGTAATTTATTGTTACTGCCTGTGTATACAACACTAAGTACCCAGGATCTTTAGACTTCTTTATTCATCACACAAATGTTAGGCATATATAGGAAAAATGTTGTGTTTCCTGTTTCAGTCCTAAAAAATAGGGTTGGTAGGTAGGGGTTTTCTTTTTTCTCTTTTCTTTCTTTTTTATTAGACTTTGGACATCTCTACTGATCCAACTTATATAAGACAGTTTATCAAATTAAAACTTGCATGAGGACACTTTCATTGTCAATGTCAACGTTGGAAAACTGACTGTACAACGTTTCGTCACTCAGTCTTCAGATCATAGAGTTAAAACTGTTGGATCAGCTGGAAACATTTATTTCCCTTAAAGGGGTCCACCCAAAAAATGGCTAGGGTCGGCATATTTTCTACGGTCGGTCGGGAAACTGGAAACACATTTTTTTCTTAGGCCTGCAACTGGCCATAATCTGTTGAATAATCCCTTCATACTAACGCCTGTCATAATATATCGACACACAACATATTTTCCAGAAACTTGACCCAAAGAACAATCCAACAGGGAAATTATAAAATCTCATTCTTCCGGTTACGATCAAGTTCAAGTTATAATTTGAACACTCAGGGGAAGAATTTGCCACACTTGCAGATCTGGTCACGTCCCCAGCGAAGTGCTTACCGATAAGAATCCATTGTAATGATATTATGGGCACAGAATATCGTATCAAGGCTACTTACTGACGTGCACGGCTGTCCTCAAATGACATGAATGGGAACAAATTGTCTTATCTTACTAAGTTAAAATGTCTTCTTCGTCTAAACTCATACTGACAACCTTGGTCTTGGAGTTGAACTAAAAACTTTCGTGCAGGCAAACATTAAAGCGTACAAAGGAATTCTGCAATACCAGCGACCATGTGTTGTGGAATCATCTCACCAAAGAGCAATAAAAGCTTACAACTTCAACGGCCTTCAAAACCTCATTGCACTCGTTATACAGTATTGTTGTTATTGTGCATTACTTCTCGTATTGATGGTATATTTATGTTTTCCAAGACTTACCTGAAAAACAGTTCAAATACCTGAGTGTAGCCTTCTGGTAAAATGAATAAACTAAAACTTAGTTGAATTGTACAACAGATAGATTTTCTTATGTAAGTATTGCCGTGTGCAATAATTCCTATATATGACAAAGGGCAATACATTTGGTAAAGTCATAATCTTTTACAATTACCGGTTGAATTCAATTGAAAAAATCTAGGCTATAAAATGCTGTCCTGTCAATTCCATGTAGAGTATCATCTAAATCGTGGTCTTGACAAAGACAAAGCATTTATGTCAACAGGGCATACCCTTTTATATATCATGATCCAATATTTCAGTGGTGCAAAGTATTCTAGACTATCTGTCTCATCAATATGAAAATGTATACATTATCTTGGAAAGTGAGATATAACACAATTATTTTTGCATGAGATGGTTAACATAATCAACTTTTCTTCGAATAATCAACTTCTTTGGCAAAACTGACAATGACACCAGATGGTCCAAGATCCATAAGATATAAGATTAGGTAATTATCGACCCCACATCTAATCTAATATTATTCCTTGAGAGTCAGATGAAAGACTGCTACTTTCATGATTTGTCAGATGTGTAGCTTTGTGGATCTATAAAGTTCTGAGATATTCACCAATAGGCAGTAAGCAGCTCTTTGGCATGCAAAGTGAATCAAATGTTTAGCGGCTCGTCCGAGGAGTTGAAAGCTTTATTGCATTAAAGTACACGCAAGTTTCTTGGCCTTGGCACCCACATTGCAGATTACCGAAGCAAGATGAGCGGTGAAGAGAGAAGATTACAATCGTAAAAGGCTCAAGGTATGGGAATTTTATTCCGTGTATTTTGCTCTTCTCTGTTTATTTGTTTGTTTGTTCGTAAAAGCATGTATGGTAAAGATTATTGTTAGATTATTGTTATTGTTAAAATGCTGCATGCGAAATGAATATGATAAATGTAAAATGCTGAGCTCATATGAAGTCGTAGTATTCAAAGAAGGGCAATTTTGTGAAGGCCACATTACTCCAATCATACTGCGGGGCATTGTTGTTCCTGACACCTGACAACTTTGGTGATTATGGTAACCTTGTACACAACCATTAACAACCTGATGTCGTTTCGTTAGTCATTCTGCTACGCTTACTAGCTGTGCAAAAAAATCATTGATACATGCAATTACCAACCTGATCGAACTATTCATGGTAGTAGTATACCCTATGTTAACGCCACAATGGCACAGGAGAGACAACGCTGAACTCAAACTTTATCGAAGGGTCGGACACAAAACATTAATACAAAACTCGCTGTTACCCCCTTCTTTGATTTAGGTATTTTCTTTAGGCAGAATGGTTGTCTTTGAAGAACATTAGCACTAATTTAATATTTAAGTAGCACTTAAGGTATTTTGGTGATGTCACATTCCTATTCTCCAAGGAACCGTAGCGTGACAGAATTGAACTCCCGCATGAATATTAACGTACTAATACCGCCTTAGCCCTAATCCATTTTCTTTACATTTGTAGCACACGAAGCTTAGATGTACTTTGAGAAGTGCTTTCATAGACTTCGGAACACATTGTTTAAATGTGACAAGGAATACCTTCTCCGTGTCATCCTCCCTATGACATCCGCCTATGTATATCTGACTAGGTGTTGATGTTCAAAGTTTTCAATACATGATCTGCAGCTAGGTAAGTATGGAGTCTAATCATCAAGGGGTTTCTATAAAGAACATTGTATGTCATTGTATTTTTGGTATTATTGAGGAAATTGTACTAATGTATGATTGTTTTTTCTTCTTCTTAAGTTTTCACAATGACTCCAGTTATCCTCGTGTGCATCACCCTTGTTCTTATTGCAGGACAAGCATCATCATTGCCAAGTGAGTGGTCTTGAATATCATTCTTGATTTTTTTAACACTCTTTTAGCGGTTCCTTTGCTGCAGAGAAATCATGTTTGTCATCTGGGTAATTCCTGTATGAACACTCTCCTCTTGTCTGTTAAAGTTTGTGATGGCATACCAGTATATTGCTAGGCGATAGAAATGACAGTTGTAATAACAATTTATGTGTCAATCAAGAGTAAAATTTGAATTTAAGAATGCATATTACATTTATATACAAGTATAACGCAACAGATGTATTGACAAAATATTTACTGAATATATAAGTTTACGTTTGACCACGGAAAACAATCTGAAAGACTGGAAATGTCCTTACAGCATCAACGAGGTTGCCGATACGGATTAGCAGGTCAAGTGAGTTAGGAGGTGAGCGTTTTTGTATTTTCTGTAACAAAACATAATTTGTACTTATATTAAATAACGAGAGTGGCGTTTGTTTTCTGGCGCACTCACGCGCGTCTTTCTGTCTGTCTGTGTGGCGTGTGTGTGATTCTGAATATCCTAACACACACTACGCATGGTTACCTTACCACCTCTATCGACCAAAAAATAGAGGCCCTTTATAATGATATTTCAGTTACACATTCAGAACGTTCCAGCGACCACCAGGCAACCAATGTTGGGACACCGGTTGGGAGCAGTCTAATCAAATCTGAACGCGCCCGAACACTGCTGGCCTACTACCGAACACCAACCGACCATGTCCGAACCTCCTGTCCACACCTGAAGGTTAAAGACATTTGAAACATTCTGTGGGGCCGTGTGGCGTCGCGGCAGAGTGCTCGACCCGGAACCAAGATTCTGGGTTCGAGTCCTGATGACATGACATGCCACCAATCTTGTGCCCTTGGGAAAGGCACTTTACACGACTTTCCTCACTTAACTCAAGTGGAAATGAGTATTGTCTTTCCTGTATTCCTCTGCGTTGGTGGCGGCATTAAATAAGTTGACATGTGTGCCGTCACCATTTCTAGTCATAAAATGTTTGAAAGATTCTGTGGACAAAGCCGACTTTGCCGAACGCCAGCCAACCACAGCAGACCTTTCTCGCGTCCTACATGTATTCCTAACCATGGTAGAGTTTGGGAGGCCATATCCGGACAGGGACTGTACATAAAGACCTGCCAACTCTCCCCTGGGGACCCTGTAATAACTATTATTAACATTTGGCTACCATAAGCCATGATACACGTGAATAATTAATATTTCTTTTGTTGAAGGTCACTCTGTCACATCAATCGACACAGACGGCGATGCGACCATCGATTACGGTGAGCTCTGATATCAATAAGTAACAGGGCGAGAATTTTACAGTGTCCCAATGACCACTGACGACTAAAATTTAGGCCAGGACAACTAAAAAGACACTTTGGGACATTTTTGGACAATAGAAAAAATAATCAGCATCAAAATGTCAGCCCTTCTTTTGTTTAACAGGCACACGTCTCAGCTTTTGGCTTCCGTGTACTCTGCAATTATAGTACGCCTGCAGTTGGGAGTAAGAAAGTAAGCAAAATAAAGTCGACTTCAAGTTGAAGTCATACAATATAGAAGATATACAATACTTCTCTGAAAACAGGTTGGGACCATTCAGCCTCACTTTGGGACAATTGAAATTTATTTTTTGGACAGTGCTGGGATAATAGAAACAAAATTTAATTTCGAGGCCTGAAGTAACTGTTCAAGCACGTCAAAAGCACATACAGCATTGTTTGGGGCTCAAAGCATCCATCTATGAGAATTATAAGCAAAATCATTGTAGCCAATCCTTCCACCTTTTGAATTAGCTATATTTATATGTGGTCTGAAATTCCCAAGGGATAGTGTTTGGTTAAGCAAGTCACTAAGCAGTGGCATAAAAAGTATCAACCACAAGAAATGACTTGTTCAATTTGGTTGAACCTAGTAAAAATAGTGATTCGTCTTGATCTAAGTTCTCCTTTAAATTTCAAGTACTAAAATTCTACATATTTTTAATATATTTTCATTCTAGATATTGAATATATAGTATTATCTTTCTACACAGAGGACGACAACATCAAGTTCGTCCAAGGACAGGTTTTGCGAGCTGTTACAAAGACACCGGTACGTGGTGAACAAATCATAGGGGAAGAATATATGTCGAAAAAATATGGTAGTACAAATGTACAACTTGTGGTAAAGCATTTGGACGTTACAACAAATACTCTTTAAAGAAAGGTACATTATCACTTCCTTATGATCAGCGCTAGTATTGCAAGATCATTCTGTTCTATCTCATTGTACAATATTTGTAGGGCCTACTGCACTTATCAGAGGAAGACCAGAGTGACTGGTCGAAAGCTCTAGTTAAGAGAACTTCTTTGCGTTGGATCAAAGGTTTTAACTTTTTCCTAAACATGTAACAACCAACACAGATAAACTTTCATGCTAATCTTAAAATCGATTTGTGACTCCAGGCCCATCCATTTCTAGTACGGACGAACAAAACCAGCGGGCTGGTGTACGAAGGTTATCTGAAAGACGTGTTGAGCAGCCTGGCCAGGATCCTCAAGTTCGAGTATGAGATCTACGAATCTCCTGACGGCAAATATGGAGCTCCTGACCACAGGGGCGTGTGGAATGGGATGGTGGGGGAAGTGGCGTATGGGGTGAGTTTGTTTGTTTGCTTGTTTGTTTGTTTTATTGGGGTCTCCAATAGTGTCCATTGGTGTTTTTTGAATTCTCTATACTCTCCAAGCAGAGGTTGTGGGGAAATGATCGTTACCTTTTTATATAAGGCCGTTTTTTGTCGCTAATCCCACCCGTCGGTGGCTGGTGACCTTCTCTGGCTAATGGATACTGCCTGGCCAATTTGATACTGTCTTTTTGCCACTGAAAGGGATCTGCTTGGAGAATATTCACACTATTCCTCTCGGAGTCCATATAACATGACATAATCAAATAAGATATGAATAACAAAACTTATACATTTGGTACATGGAGAATTGACAAAATTATAAGGTAAATTCAAACTCAGCTGGCGAGTTCAGAAGTAAATAGTGATGATATGTGATAGTATGATAATATATAGTTTTTTTGATAACGAAATCTCTAAGAAATTTACCTGTCAAAAATTTAGTAACTCCTCAACTGCCTTCCTTGGTGCTTGGATGGTCTCATATTGCTGCAAGCTTCATTAAGAAGATGTGGTAATTCTTTAATGTACGTACCTTGCACATAACAATGTCAACATGAAAATAAACTTAAACAGACCAGCAAATACTCGATCCCAATTATATTAAATAAAGATTTATACACCAGATGTGTAGACAAAATCAAGACGCCAAGAAAGACGAATTAACAATAATCATAACTGGTGACTCATTATTCAAACTGTTGTTTTTTATACTACAGCGAGCTAACCTGACGCTCGCACCGTTGACCATCAGTTCGCTGAGAGAGAAGATAGTGGACTTCACCAAGCCTTACCTGCACGTGGGGACAGACATGATGATGAAAACACCGAGTGAAGATGTGGACATTTTCTCGTTCCTCATGCCGTTTGAGCCGTTCCTGTGGCTCACCATCCTGGGCGCCGTGCTCGGGATCGCGCTGTTGCTGTTCCTCACCGCAAAAGCCAGGTTGGTGTGGGGTAGCGTGGCGTAACGGTAGAGTGTTTGCCTCGGAACCAAGAGGTCCCGGGTTCGAACCCTGCCATGCCACCGATCTTGTATCCTTGGGAAAGGCAATTTACACGACTTTTCCCAGTATGTCTGTTGGCCGTGCGTCTGTTGGTTGCGGCATAAACTAAGTGTTCCGTCGCCATGAATTGTGATAAATGTTGAAATAGAAAAAAAAATCAGGTTGGTGGAAAATTATTTTACTCATTCTGCGTTTTGGATCCCGTTGAACGCGTCGTTGAAAACAGGTTTATCATTTAGACTTAACGATTGGGGCGAAATGCCAGCAAATAAAGGCAAATAGGTATCTGCTCTGTGCTTGGTAATCTAGCTTCTGTATCTGTATCTATATCGGTATTGCTCGGAGTACTGATTAATGAATAAAATAATGAAATCATATTTTACATCACAAATATAAAAGACATGTCAAACATAGACTTAAGATGTAAGACTTAATGCACAATATCTTGGCTATAACACCATAGCAAATTATGTATAAAAACATAAAACACATGGTCACACTTTGTAGATAGAAGATGTAAGTTGTCTTTCCTAAGCTGCCCTTAATTAATCCTCGTAATTACGCAATCACTCTTCTTCATGTCGGCAGGACCATGGCGGGCGCCGTTGACAAGTCGTTCGACAATGACTCTGCCTTCACCGGATACAACAGTATATGGTTCGCGGTCTGGTCAGTGTTGAGGAAAGGTAAGCATCTGACGTAAACTAATTCCTCTTCCTAAACTTGCATCCCCACAGCTTCAATCTTCAGTTTGAGACCAGGTATTTGAGTAAGTAAAATGAATCATCATCATGTTGGCATGTTTAACATAGTATACCTTCACTGTAATCCAACATGGTGGATGTGAAAAGCCTCAGAGTCTATGTTTTTACTTAGTCTTTCATTATTCTGCAACCTAGCGCAAGAAAAAGATACAGATCGGGACAACTTCTATTTTAAAAGCAAGTCTTACATGGTGCTTCAAGGAAGAGCTCAGAAAAGTCTGAATGGACGAGTGTATGGATAATGGAGTTATCAGAGTGGTGAAGTCGGCAACAAATGAATGGGACAGTAACCGTACAGCATAGATAAATCAACAAGTCATATCACTTACAGTACATCACACACAGTATGATTTCAATCAACAATTTATATCACTTACAGTACATTATATACAGTATGATATAAATCAACAATTCATATCACTCACAGTATTTCACAAACGGTACAATTTAAATCAACAATTCATATCACTTACAGTATATCAAAAAAGTATATAGAAATCAACAAGTCATATCACTAACCTTTCGGCATACCTTTCCCACAGGAGGAGAGCCTGCTCCCCGGTCTATCCCAGCCCGTATCCTGGCAGCAGGTTTGTGGCTGTTTGCCCTGATCGTGGTGTCCACCTACACCGCCAACCTGTCTGCCTTCCTCACGGTGAAGAGACTGGAGAGCCCCATCAACTCCCTGGACTCCCTGGTCCACCACACCAAGACCAGGTTCGGCGTGCCAAGAGACACGTTCCTCTACAGTTTCTTCGAGTCCTACAAAGGTACGAATTAAATCTGTCAACATATCATTACGTATGAGTTAAAAATTTTGGTCTAACACAGAAAAGTTCTCTCACCTATAGAGTTTTCGACCAGATACCTCTGTCCCAGTGTTGACAACGTGACAAGCTTCAATGGGTCAGTCTACTGAGGAAGACCAGAGTGACTGGTCGAAAGCTCTAGTTGACAGAACGTTTTTATGTTGGACCAAAAGTTTTAACTCTAAACATGTAACTACCAACACAGATGAACTTTCATGATAGTATATCATTACGTACTTTTCTACTATGGGGCGATTCGAACTCAGAGCTTCAGTAACATTTCTACCTACCATACCGCACCAGATCGTCTGTTATCTTTTGCTTCCTGTCTCTTCTTCAGACGACACTGGAAACGTCTACAAGGAAGCCTGGGACAGGATGGAGACGGACGACTCTTACTACAAGAACTTCGCAGATGGAGTCTCCAAGGTGAGACGGACCACATATATCTCGCTGTGTGCGTGTGTGTATGTGTTTGTATGTTATGTGCGTGTCTATGTGTGTGCGCGTGTGTGTGTGTGTGTTTGTGTGTGTGTGCGTGTGTGTGTGTTTGTGTGTGTGTGTTTGTGCGTGTATGTATGTCTATGTGTGTGTATGTGTGCAATTTCAAGTGGAAATGTATCAAGAAGAAACATGCGTTCTGAGGTAAAAGGGGCTGCTATTATCAACTAAAATCCATGTGTTGTCATAGAAAATGATTTGTCCCTTCGTAATAGCCTCTTTCAGGCACCGCGGAAAAATAGTAGAAATTGGCCGAAATAAAGGGATAGTATACCAGAGAAGATCCCGGGCCATAGAAGATCCACTATTCGCGACCCACGCACGGCTACCTTCGTAACAGCTGACATGGGGTGGAAAATATTTTACTGTTACTAAGAATGGCGGGAATCTATCTGTCAATCATCTAAACCAGAGATGCTGATTGGTTACAATTCACTGAGGACGCTGCTTGGTAATGGCTGGAACCTATCTGTCAATCATCTTAAATCAGGCACGCTGATTGGTTGTTGTTATTCACTAAGGACGCTGCTTGGCAATGGCGGGAATCTATCTGTCAATCATCTAAACCGGGCACGCTGATAGGTTGAATTCTTTGAGGACGCTGCTTGGCAATCGCGGAAATATGTGTAACACATGTTTCGAGCTATCTTAAACTTAGAGCTCAAGTCTGCTGTCGATTTCTCTTAGACTGAAATCATTTGCCTCATGCATAAGCTGACACTACAACGCAATGATGTCTTATTCACAGTTTCTGTGACAGGTAATTTTTTATCGTACCCTTTAAGCATTTTTATTACACAAGAACGCTTCACTCATAACCTAGATCGCCGCGCGCGGGAAAACTCGTAACCTGATATTCTCACACCTGCATATCGCCGACGGTGGGGTTGCGGCTCGTGTAGGGGTTTGTGGAATTCGTATATAAAGCAACCAGAGGCTGACAGTGGAATGACTCTAAGTCAACTGCCTGCTGAGATGGAAGATACTAATATTTGTGTGTGTGCGTGTGTGTGAGGGGTTTTGGTAGTAAAAAGGACATTGACTGACTGTGAAGTTTCTGAAATGGTACAATAGAGATACTGATTTTGATATCCTTTGGTTCTTCCGTTACAACAATTATAAGAATTTACATGTACTTACACGTCCACATAGTTTGTCCCTTACCAGTAACCAACCTAAACCTAAAAGTGTTTGTGTGTGTGTGTGTGTGTGTGTGTGTGTGTGTGTGTGTGTGTGTGTGTGTTGTGTGTGTGTGTGTGTGTGTGTGTGTGAGAGAGAGAGAGAGAGGGAGGGAGGTGTGTATGTGTATGTATGTGTTTTGATGTGTGCGTGTATGCATATGTGTGTGTGTGTTTGTTTGTTATAACATGGGGATTTCAATCATTTAAACTGACTGACTGACTGTGTTTTCCATGCCAGACGAAGAAGGGCGAATACGTGATGTTGGCGGAGACGCCGTTCCTGGAGTACGCGGTTCTGAACGATGAGAGAGGGACATGTGTATGTGTATGTGTATGTACGTGTGTTTTTCGTATGTGTGTGTGTCAGAATTGACTGACTGTGATTTCCATGCCAGACGAAGAAGGGCGAATTCGTGATGCTGGCGGAGACGCCGTTCCTGGAGTACGCGGTTCTGAACGATGAGAAGTGCGAGCTGATGCTGGTCGGGGCGCCATTCCTGTTCCAGGGGTACGGGCTGGCCACTAGACGGGGGGACCCGCTCCGCAAGGCCCTGTCCATCGGGTGAGTGATACACGAACTTATTGCACGAGAATTGTACATGGTAAACTGTATGGCAAAAACGATTGAACAGAGTACAAAAAAGACAGAATAAGACCTAATATAGAATAAAACATAATAAATTCTAATTTCTCAAACAACAAGTGCTAGCACACCAACGAGCGGGAAACCTTCTCTTCGCGGCAAAACTCCCTCGGCGGCAAAATCTTTCCTCCGCGGCATATTACTCGCGTCGCTCACAGAAAAAATGACGCCAATTGCAACGCCCAACAAGTTTGCAAAGAAGGCTAAGTACATGAATGTGTTTGAGTAAGAAGAAACAGAGCAGTACTTTGTTGAAGTAGACCATGTGAAGGTAAACATTACGCATCTACAAATGTTACCTTTTTAGTTATTTTTAATATCTTGGCTTGTGTATCCGTAGTATTCTCCGCCTTCAAGAGACAGGGGCCCTCTCGGCTATCAAGCAGCGGTGGTGGCCGGCGGACAAGTGTCCTCTGTACGGAGGAGGGTCAACTTTTAACTTTTTTAAATACGTCTTGGCATCTCTGTGTCCGTAGTATTCTCCGCCTTCAAGAGACAGGGGCCCTCTCGGCTATCAAACAGCGGTGGTGGCCGGAGGACAAGTGCCCTCTGTACGGGGGAGGGTCAGCCGTGAGGGGGAAAAGTCAAGTCACGATCCCCACTTTCTTAGGTAAAATCAACACCTTCTTAGGTATGTTACACGTCTTGCGTTTCTTAATTTTCTTATGGACATAATTGTTTTTTTTTCTTTGAATTCGTCGTTTTGAAAATTTACCCTGTAATTATTTCTCCATTTATTTCTCTCGATTTATGGATGCATTCATTTTTTTTTCACAATATTGATTTTTTTTTTGGTTGCGATCAAATGTTTTACTTTGCCAGTAGGGTGCCCATTATTTATTGGTATGGTAACTACATGTAAGTAAAGGTAAGTAAAGTGCTCCCATGGGCCACTTCAAATGACGGATAGGCCTGTCTTCTCCCTTAGGTGGTAAATAGTCCTCCTTTATTACATAGAAATGGGAGGCCAGGAGACCGTATTTTAACCCTTGTCCTGCAACCGTTGGCATTTTAGACAATATTTTTCAAAAATTTGATTTCTTAATCAGGTGACAGACCCTTGACTTCTTTTTCGCTGTTGTGGCAAAATTACTTCCATATTCAATGCGTTTCGCTGCGTTCATGTGAGAAATCACCCTGAAATTTTGTAAGTACACAAGGCCCTATATGGTTGGCACTGCCAGCGTATGGATGGCATTGCCAGCGTATGTACAACCCATATATGTATGGACGAAGCAGGACAAGGGTTAAAAAAAACAAGCATATTCTTTGGTGGTTAGAAAACAGTAGTCTCGTATAAATTGGAAAAACAGTATCATTGGCAGAACGGTATCCAATACTCAACTCGACAAATAAGACACCAGTACAAAAAGGAAGGAATGCCTAAAACACCCGAATCTCTATCTGCTTTGCTTTTAGAGTGAAATGTAATCCTTATTTGATATATTTCTTGTTCGTACAGGGGTGTTCTTCATCCTTGCCGGCGCCGCTAGCCTGGCGTTGGTCGTGACTTTGGTGCAAGTTTTATTCGCTAAAAGTCCGTGTGGCAAGAGAAGATACAAGGTACAGTCTAGTACTAGATAATTATGTTTACCGAAGAAAAAAACCTATTGTATTTGCTCTGTTTCTTCTTCTCCAAACACTGACCTGGTCAGAGACCTGAACCAGATCGTCTGTCACCATGGTAAGTAGTGTAGGTTGCATAATGTTGTAATCTTATAGCAGGAGGGATTTAGACTCCTGTCACTATATAATTATGTGAATGTGTTAGAGTAAGAAGTAACAGAGAAGACCATGTGCGAAGGTAAACACTACGCATTTGCTTTGCAAATGTTACCTTTCTAATTTACTCCTTTAATTCAACACCTATTATTCTTAAAATGTCTAGGTAGATGAAATAGCAATAAGTGTTTCTGAAGCAGATATTGTGTTGTAATTTCAGAAGAGAGAACAGTCGAAGTCGGTGCTCCAATCTACGTCCTCCCTGTCCGACAGTAAGGCGTCTCCCGCTCAGCAGTTCGACGTGGCAATAACCGATGGAGACTAAATAACGACCAAGCAATAGCGACATCAGATCCTGCGGACTGTATGTAACAGTGCGGTTTATAGGCGCTGCCAACTGACTCGGCCGAGGGGTCTAGACCTTTTAGCCGAGTGTTTTGAGCGTCGGAGTCTGAACTGGCGCTCGGGTTAGGTCGTGGGTTCGAACCCGGGCGCAGGACCAGGAGAGTTTTTATCTGTTTCTACTAGCTCCTCCTGTTTCTTACATGTACATGTATATAGATTGCATCATCATCATCATCGGTCGGCTGCGGCGCAGGCGACTGCAAGGTCCCTCCACTGCCCCTTGTCGTGAGCAAGGTTGGCGATCTGCTTCTCTGTCAGTTGACCACAGTGGTCGCCCAGCGGTTGTTGCACATACTTAAAGTAGGAGGTAGGCTGCCGGCCTCGTCTGCGTCTGCCATGAGAGCGAACAGTCTAACAGGTTCATCCTCAGGCAAGCGCAGGATGTGTCCCAGAAATTATAAGAAACAAGAAATACAATGTACTCCGCTGCCTAGCAAAAGAAGCATCCATAATACACACGTCAAGAGACCGAGTAAACACAACAAGTACTAATAGTTGATCTAATAAAAATATAAAAAGGACATTCACAGTAACTGCTCAGTATGTGACTGCAATTCAGTGATGAACCGCACGATGTCTCTGTTAGACCGTCAGGTGAAACAACTGCTTTCTCTGCTTTCGTCAACTGTACACTACATGACCTTCTATTAAAAGTGTATTATATGGCGTGAATAGGAACATTGGTATAGATGATAGAACCTGGAATGCAGTCACAAATCGCAAGATGTCGTTGCTAGACCGTCAGATGAATTGACTGCAGTTCCATTGACTGTACATTAGATATTTCATGTACATGTACCTTACTGATATACATATAATAGTTGACGGGTTTAAGATACAAACTAAAGCAAACAGTAGACATTAAAATTTGGTGCACAATAGATGTGTAAGGGTTGACAAGAAAGTCCATTATAAGGCCACACCAATTTAATTTCTTGGTTAACGGATTTTTCTAGAAAAATAATGGAGCGGGCGGGCGAAAAAAAAAATAAAAATAAAAACAGGCCTAGGCATCGTATTATGGCCCAAAATGGTACGATAGGAGCCATGAAGCCAACACACCAGGCTGGTTCAAAATTTAAACAATGAATTTTGAACTTTTAATGATACCATTGCATTGAAGGATGGAATAACTGTAACAACTACGAAGAAAAGGACTGTTTTCAACTGTTCAGGGCAAAATATGAGCATTTTGCAGTTGATTCTGGATTTTTATTTTTATTTGCAAATCAGAAAAAAATGAAGCGGCGAATCCGTTAACCAAGAAATTAAATTGGTGTGGCCTAAAGGGGGAACATTATAACGTTACCTTATACAAGCCAGTCTGAAATATGTTATCTGGCCATCTATGCAAATATGTCTAAAGATCTTTTCTATCATGCGTATAGTTGCTACAACCAAGAATATTATTGTATTAAATTAATTACCCTTTCAGAAGAAATAAAACTTATACATGAGATAACTGACTTGACATTCCGTTGCATTGCCTCTAATTTATTTTCAGACATTGCTCTGGATATGGCGGGATTTTCAAAATGAGACCATTTGATTTTAGTTTCAAATCATTAATAAAGCACTATTATTTCTCATTAAACGTTTAGCCTGTTCAGTATTCATACGGAAAACTGTTTTGGATGACATCCAACTGTTTTTAAACCGTAGGTTTTATAAAAATATTTGACTTGGCTCCATTCCACGTGTTGGTATCACGTTACATAGACTGTCGACTCGTCCATTATTTTTACAGGGAAGATAATTCTATAAACATAGAGTTTTACGTTTTATCATCATCTAACTTTACTAAAAAATTTAATCCCATACATATACAAACAATTAAAGTCTTACTAAAACAATATAAACGATTATCAATGACAGATGTTAACATTCTAGAAGCTTTTAAACTCAAATAGAAAATGTAAAACACCCCTACGAGTTTGTAAACTTCCAAAAGTTCATGTTTACGTCTGAGAGCGAGACGGGAGAAGCGCAGTTAGAATTTCGATAGTTTTGAGCTCGGAAATTCGCAGGAAAATGGCAGCAAGTTCGGCTATCAAGCTATACACCGGTGCCAGGCTGCCTATGCTGGGACTGGGGACATATCATATTGGAGGGTAAGTCTGAGGGGGGAAAAAACGTGAACACGATTTTTGTGCAGGTGTCTCGAATCTTCGATTGCGAAGGTCACTCCCCCATTTTCTGTTGTCCGCCATGCAAAAATGTAAGGCTAGAGTCATTTTAGTTGTTGTGAGGTAGTTCCTTTGGTTTATGGATATGTTTTTTAGACAGTTTTTCTTTCATATGTTGCGATATTGTGCCTTGCATGTCAATTTATGTGGTAATTTGTTTCAGTCAAAGGAATTTTGAAGTATTTAACGTCATTGTCACCTTGCGTATGTCAGCCATTTTATTTTCCACGACATGTAACGTTACATTTGTATTTACTATCAATAGGAATACATCCTTTACATTTTGCTTTTAGATCTGGTATTCAAGACAGTTTTTGCCAACGTTTTATGAAAATTGATGCGAAGGGAACACGTGGTGGTATGTCCACGAGTTAGCAGGGAAAGGCCTACTAGTAGAGAATTTTGTTTCCCGACCGACCCTAGAAAAAATTGCAAACCCTAGACTTTTTTTTGTGTGGACCCCTGCAAGAGACATGAATTTTTCGAGCTGATTGAATTTTTCTAGCTCCATAATTTGATACCTGAGTGATGAAACGTCGTACAATTGGTTTTCTAACATTGCTATAATGAAAATGTAAAGTCTAAGTGTTCTCATACATGCATTGTTTAC